AAAATGCTTTGATCTTGAAAAGACGGGCGTCTGAGCCTTCAGCAAAGAGCTCGCACTGGCAAAGGAACCGGATTCCCTTTTCCCCGGCGGTGAAGGTTATCAGTCCTTTGTGTGGGAGCTCAGCCGCAGATTAGCTCGCGGCGCCACCTCGTTAAACCTGCTCTTTCGCCGCTTTGAGTTCTTAGGTTCATAACATTTGAAACATTTTCAAAGTGGCCTTCAGGTCCTCGCGGCGAGACCGATAGGTTCCCCCGAATAGGATACCGTTGAGCTGCTATCTGCTGGGTGTGGAAGCTGCGGCTCTTTGCTAAGCGAGGCTTGGAGCTCTGAACGCGCGCAGGCACGCGCGCACACACCCGCTGTGTGTTCGCCGGCAAACACTTCTCGCGCCCAGACAGCTGAAGGAATGAGGACTGCACCGCGGAGATGTGCTAATTTAGAAATAACATTCACCTGCGTCGTTCAGTATCGCCCAGACCCCCTCCTATTCCACTCTCACACAGCGTATAAGGAGTGCAATATTAACACCTCAATTAAAGGTGTTTGCCATGAATTAAAACTTGGGAAAGTTTTTAATTGCTAAACTTTCTCCCCCAAACAAAACTATATATATATATTGCTGCAAATTTTTAGCACAGACTACAATTTTTTTTTTTCTGCTTTACTCACTTTGTTCGGGAAGTGTTCCTCACTGACAGCAGTGCAGGTCACTGGATGGCCACAGGTGGCGCTGTCTCGCATCCAGATCCAAGCCCTGACTGACTCATCCCGTCCTAGTTCGCACTAAGCTTGTGATGATCTGATCCAGACCCAAACCTGTGACTCTCGGGCGTGCACATTTCAGTATGTTTTTTCTGTAATTTTCCACCTAAACCTTTAACCTGTACTCAATGCATGACCAGTAAGGACATTTTCTGAAGTTCGTTTCAGCTTTTCGGTTTTGTAACCATTGTCTGTCCTGAACTCCAGTGTTACACTTTATCAGGGTGCCTGAAAAATAAACGAACGGATTGAAACTCGTTGTTGTGGACGAGTTAGAAGCTCAGATCTTGGACAGCCTTTCTCAGGGGTCCAGTTTGGCTTTGGCTATTGCCTCAGTGCTCCTAGGCTCAGGGCTTACATCTGTATTGAACTGCGTTCCGTGTGGAGTTTGCATGTTCTCCCCACAAATATGTGGGCTTTCTCCTGGTGGTCCAGTTCCCTCCAGCAGTCCAGGGTGTGAAGCTACTCAGATGGATTGGCCTGGTCCATTTCCTGCTTTGGGTCCAGTGCAGTTCTGCCTTTGACCCTATATCTGTGCAAGTTAGGCTCCAGGCTCACCACAGCCATCTAAAGATAAAGAGAGTGC